GAGACTGTGGGTTTAAAGGGTTCTTCAGGGTTAGTGTTAGGGACCATGCTGGTTTCCACCAGCTTTATTTGGCTCACAGGCCAATCCCCCCAATTGTGGGAGCCTCAGTTGTCACTATCTATTCCCCCTGAAGTCCCAGATCTATAAGGTGGAAATAGTAATTAGGAGCCACATTGGCTAAGTGGAAAAGACCCATAGGTCTGGTGCTCAGATAGAAAGCTTAGTCCCTGCAGAAGGCACTAATTGGATAGGAGCATCTCTAGGGGCTCCTGATTCACCTAGGCTGGTGCTGGAAATGCTGTAAGAAACATGAAGGATTTTAGCTTGCACGCCAGAGCATGCAAAAGAACATTTCTCCTCATCGGGAAATGCCAGCTGAGGGAGCCTCCTGGGAACCAGACCACACATGATGGATCAGAGTGGGAAAGCTATATGGCACTCTTGAACGACTTTGGAGTAGATGTCCCATCCTTCTTGATCATTAGCTATTGCCAAATGGGGCTGATGGGGAATGACTTAATGACACATGGTGGAACATTGATCAGGGGAATGTAATGTAATGAAAGAAAGATATGCAAGCAATACAGGAGGTAAATAGTGGAGTTGCTTACTTGGCTGTGTGTAAAGAAGAAAGCTTGATTTTGTATAACATTTAATAATTGTCAGTGCCAATTAAAGTGCTGATTGTTGATTGTGCCACAGTGGATGGAATGTTTTAGTTGGATCTGAGATGTGCCAGGTCCAAATCTCTACTCGGTTCTGAGGATTTGATTGCTGTGGTAGCAGTGGGTTTGCATACTGTGTTAAATCATGTTTATTTTAACCATGGTTCGTAGAGTACAACAGTCAGGCGAACAAGCCAACTCCACATTGCATAGTCCTGATTCTCCCCTTAACCTAATCTTCTTCTACAAAATCCCAAATGTGCTTTTTCAGGAGGCAACTAGACTTTCTTGTTTTTCTTTGAAGACTTTTCGCTTCTCATTCAAGAAGCTTCTTCAGTTCTGACAGGACAGTGGGGAATGGAAGGCATTGATGAGACAGGTCCAAATCTGGAAGGGTGAGAGATATGACAAAATCTATTCACCACTGTCCTGTCAGAGCTGAAGAAGCTTCTTGGATGAGAAGCGAAACATCTTCAAAGAAAAAACAGGAAAGTCCTGTTGCCTCCTGAAAAAGCCCCTTTGGGACAACCATGACCTGCATGACTGAGAATTTCTACAGACTACTTCTACAAAGATAAATCCGGTAGCAATATGGCATGCCATTCCTTGCCAATTTCAAAAGGTTTATGTTTTATTTTAACGATGTAGAAGAATATTTACTTGATTTGAACATCTTCAGCTATCATATTAATACCATGCAGTTCACGTCTTTTGATTCTTGGAAATCTTTTTTACTGGAGAAAAAAAAAGTCCTTTAAAACAGTGGTGGGGTGGAATGATACAAAGGACCCCCAAACATTAGTGTTAATATAGATGGTCCCAATTATTTCCATGCCGTAACTAATCAGTTTAATGGAATAAAAAGTCAATTAACTGAATTTAGAAGATACAATCGGTTTATAGGGCAGATATTAAAAATAGGCCAATTCTTCCTGCCTGCAAATAAGACTGCTTTCAGAAGGATTCAGACGCTACTCTTGCTACTGGTTGCCAGTCAATTAAAATAAGATGAACATAATCTGCTGCACATATCAAATCTGGCACCTACCAATTTCTGCACTTCATCAAGTTACCTTTTTGGAGAGAGGAACAGGTACAACTATTAAAACTGACAACCATTCTCTCGGATAAAAGTAATCAGATATCAAGAAAGCCTGGGCTCCTAGAGCTTTGCTAGGCCTGCAGGTTTAAAAAGTGCAGCAGGAAATCCTCCTTTTTTTAATGTATCAAGGATAGAGGTCTCCAGATTCTGGGAGAACTTGAACATATTTGGAAAATTGAACAAGCTGGCTGAGTACTGTGCTACCAGAGATTGGCAGCCAAGAAGGGCAGGGCCAGCCACAAAATGTTGGGATGGCCTTTCCCTGTGTATATAAAGGCTCTCTGTTTGTATGTTGAAGTATGTGGTTTTTTTCATCTGCTCTGGATATCCTCTTCATTCCCTCTGCTGATTTCTGCCCTCCAGCTTTTCCAGACATTTTTTGTTTCTCCTCTGGAATTTATTGAATTCCTTCCTATCTTCTCTCTGACCATTCTCCTGGTCCTCTAAGCATAAATCAAGAGTAATTTAAAAACACAAGCATCACTTTGGGGCTAGTTGGCCCAACAGTTCATTTTCTTTTCTTTGGGTCAAAACCCAACTGGGGGAATATATGAAAATGAGAATGTTGCAATGTCTTGGGAAGCTATCTAAGGGCTCAGTCTTTATTTCATTGCCAAACTCAGATTTAAGATATGGGAGCTTCATCCTTTTTTACATCTAATACTTCTTACAGAACATCATTTCATGATACACAGAATACACAGTTTTTGCAAAAAATGAAAAATGAAATTCGTATTTAATTTTCAGTTTTCGTCATTCCATCTACAGCTAGACCTACAATAACATTTAATAAGTGTTTTCAATCATGATAATCTCGGGGGGAAATGCTTTACAGCGTATAAAGTAGTTTTGGCCATCATAAAACATTGTGTTGGCACCTCCAAAGTCACATGACAACATTTTGGGCACTTGACTGTTCAAATTTATGACTGGTCACTAAGTATGATCATGTGATCACCATTTACAATCTTCTTTGTCGGCTTCTCCAGAAAGTCAATGGGGAAACAACTGAGAAGGTTGCAAGTAGAGAGGATAATGGATTTGGAAGTCCTCTCCGCTGGCATGATAAGTGATTTCCCCTTCCCTCCATGTGGGAGGAGGGGGGGAGAAATCCTCATGTGCTGGAGGAACGAGCTTCAAATTTGGTGAGAATTTGGTGAGAATACAAACAAATGGGAACATTCTGAGCCTTCCAGTTTTGGCCAGACTTGAGGTCCATTCCTCCAAAGTGACAAGGGATTTGCCCTCTAGAACTCCATTGTTCTTGCAATCGTTCTCCTTGGTGAGGCAGAGAGAGAGTCTGGGCTTCCCCTTCCTGGTCGTGGTGGGAGACCTGGGTCCTTTTCCCTGCCCCACCATGCACTGGAGGTCGGGGCTTCTCCCTGGTTTTCTACTTAATGACCTGAACAGTTGCTTAACAACCACAACAAATGGTTACATAGCAACTTGTTTAACCACTTTACTTAAGATTCCAGCCTCAATTGTATTTGTAAGTTGAGGACTACGTCTATGTTGTAGTGCCATGGCCACATAGGAGTTTAAACACTGCAGGACCTGAAAGATGCTGATTTGAAAAGGAACTGCTAGAATTAGTGTTTTAAGATGATGAGAAAATCCAAATTATGTTAATAGCATTTGTTATATAGGCTTTGAGAATCCTATACCTTCTCCAGTCCCTTACACTAAACCATAAAGTAGTTGTTTTGCTTTGCTTTGGTGTACTGTGTAAGCCCAACATTTGCAATTTGTAAATCCCACATCATGTTATGTCAAAAAGCCATTTCATATTAGTCAATAAACCATAGTTAAATAAGTCATGGCTTAGCATAATGCATGAATTCACACATTGATGGGCCCCCTTGTTCTAATTCAGATGACTCATTACTCCAGCTGTCATTCCCATTACTGCTTTCATCCTGAGGGCAGAAGCCAAGCAGCAACAGCATGGAGAAGGTAAGGTGAGATGGTTGATCTACATAGTGGATCCTCTAGATAGTAGCCTTTAGATTAAAATTGGGGGGGGGAGAAGGAGTAGCTACCAGATCCTGCAGTATGAATATTAGGTATATATTACTTTGAGGGATTTCTCACAGAGAGTCACAGGCCAGAGTATGCAACTTGAAGGACAAAGTCTAAAGCAATGGTTCTCAACCATCTCAATGCTGCGACCCTTTAATACAGTTCCTCATGTTGTGGTGACCCCCAACCATAAAATTATTTTCGTTGCTACTTCATAACTGTAATTTTTCTACTGTTATGAATTGTGATGTAAATATCTGATATGCAGGATGTATTTTCAC